TTCTCCAACGCATCATTCTTCATCTTCCATTGAAGAAGTGAAGGAGACAACTCATAAGTCGAAAGGAGACGCGATGTCGACAGATTTGCCGCAAGGTCCGTCTAAGATTTCTAAAAGTAAGATAGAAAAACACACAAGTTCTGCTAAAAATTCGAAAAAGAGTCCCGAAAAGCAATTCACCAAAAGATTCAGTCTTGGGAGGAACTTAATCAAGCAGGCCAAGCAATTCTTAAAGATTAAAGCTGATCCGTCGTCATCGTCATCAGAAATCCCAGTAAAAGCTGTGAAGAATGTGCATACACAATCTCCAAAAGATTCATTGGAGCCACAAGCGGAGACGAAAACCCCACAATTTCCTTTGCATTTGCCACCGCTGAAAGAGCCACTGCATCAGAAGGAAATCACCAATCAAGAACAGTTGAAATTCCCGCAAACCTCTAGCCAGTCGTTAAAATCAGGCGAAGGATCAAAGCATCTATTTTCTCCAACGCATCATTCTTCATCTTCCATTGAAGAAGTGAAGGAGACAACTCATAAGGTGAACGGAGACGTAGTGTCGACAGACAGTTTGCCACAAGCACCACCTCAGAATTCCAATAGTAAGATAGAACTCCCACATTCTGCTGAAGATTCGAAGAAGAATGTCGGAAAGCAAAAGCGGGAAAGCTGGATCCCAAAACCTATCAAAATCTTTAAAAAATCGGCTAAACAACACTCAAATGTTAAAGGTGATCCGTCGTCAATGTCTCAACACAAGACCAAATATTCTGTTCTCTCAAAGCAGTCGAAAACAAATGAAGCTGGATTAGTGAAGCAGCAAAAGGTCGTGGAAGCCACGGACGAGCTGAACAAATCAGGTTCTAAAACGTCAAAAAAATTATCACTATGGTCCGAACGTCTTCCTTTGTCTCCAAAGCAAACTCCAAATCTTGAGTCTCATCTATCGTCAACTTCTGAAAGCAAGACGGTTGATCACGTGGACGATGGAAATTTGCCAGTTCTGACAATGTCCTCAGTGGAGCCACAAGGAAATCCAGGAACGAACGAAAAATTGCCGCAACAGCTTTCGTCCACCATCCCCGCTAAGTCAGGGTCTAGAATCAATATATCGAAGCTTTGGAAACCACACCCTTCAAAAGTAAATCCGACGACGAAATCGAATGGTGAGCTGCTGGAAGAAGAACCGTCAAAGATTGCAACGGTAGTGACTTAACCTGTTTTGCTCCATCTTTTTGGTAGCTCTATCACCTTAAAAAAAATATTCTTTCACTACTATCTATTATTGTTCTTACGATGTTAAGCAAAAGCTAATACCATTGAAAGCTATATGCTCTAGTCTTTCTCATTC